CCCCGTCTTCGTTTCCTTCTGGCCTCTGTCATTCTGTCAATACCACCTTAGTCCTCACCTGAGGAGGGCCTGCCCAAGGGCCACCTGAACACGCCTGTGGGGGGAAGAGATGAGGAAATAAGAAACTGACCGAGTTCTTGTTTGTCGAATCTTTTTCGTTGTCATCAGTTGGGTCCTTTTCGCTGAGCTCCATGGTTTCCTTTTCAGATTTGAGACGGGTTTGCCTTTTTCCCCCTGAGGAAGACATAAAGGGAAGACGCCATCAGACACTTTCTGTCCCCCGTTGGTAACTGAGTGTCTTTTCAAAGACTTATTGCAAGGGAGTTCGTTGGGACATCAGGTCAGGGGAAAAGAGACCCCCTCATTCTGCCCCCCAGAACCCTCGAGACCCAGTTCAATTGAGGCTCTTTTCAGCCTCACATTTTCCATCTGTGAAATGGGAGTGCTGAACTCCATCTTGAATAACTTATTGAAAACCCAAGCTCCTTGGTGGAACACCCCCCCCCACGCACCCCCAAGACTATGGCCCTGAGTCGCCCTTGAAGTCTGGAAGTGAACTCACCTCCAAGACTCCATTTCCAGCCAAGCAATAAGTCTATAGGGGAACAGTAAGCCGAGGGAGGCACTCACACCTGAGGACCAGCAAACATTTGAGATCAAAAAGGCAGTATTGACCCAAGGTCAAAGTTCAGAAGGCAAGAAGGAGGAATGGAAACAGGGGCGGAAGTAGTGGGATATGGATGGTCCATTGTGAGGACGGCAATCGAGGAGAGGAAACAAAATGAGTGTGAACTGTTGAGGGGAAATGGAGGATCTGCTCCGTAAACCTTTGCCCAACAACTCACAGGACAAAAGACAGGAAGGAAGGAAGGGAGGGAGGGAATCCAGCCCCTCCCTGGCACACCTGCATTCTGCAGGGGAGGCCCATGATGGCCGGGGCTCATCCTGCAAATACTTTGCTCGGGAAGATGTGAAAAGGAAAGCAGCCTACTTGAAACTCATCTCCCATCAAAATGAAAAAACAAAATTACCCAAATTATACACTACCCCGCAGAACAAACCCCAACCCCAACCCCAACCCCAATTTGCTGCCATAGAGCTGATTCTGACTCGCAGAGACCCCGTGTGGTACCCTAAGACGAAATCCAAACAATGGACCAACAGATGACATCATGACAAGTAGAGCAAAGATTTAAGTTGTCAAGGGTTTGGTCTTGCTTGAAGCCACAATCAATGCTCATGGGAGCAGCACCCACGAGATCACAAGATGCATTGGCTCGGGTAAATCTGCAGCACGAGACTTCTTGAAAATATTGACCATCAAGGTGTTTCTTTGAGCACTAAGGTGCACCTGACCCAGCCATGGCATTTTCCATGGCCTCCTCTGCATGAGAGAGTTGGACAGTGAGTAAGGAAGACCGAAGAAGAATCGATGCCTTTGTAAACGGTGGTGCAGGCAAAGAACATTGAACATACTGAGGACAAACAACTTGAGCTTGGAAGAATTGAAGCCAAAGTGCTCCTTCGAGGCAACGATGGTGAGACCTTGTCTTACAGACTTCTGACTTGTGCTCAGGAGAGACCAGTCCTTGGAGAAGGACATCATGCCTGGGAAACTAGAGGGGCAGTGAATAGTGGGGAGGCCTGAAGGAGATGGATGGACGCAGTGGCTGCAACAGTGGGCCCAGGCACAGGAACAATGGTGAGGGTGGTGCAGGACTGCGCAGTGTTTGTTCTGCGAGGCACAGAGTCACTATGGGTAGGACCTGACTCAATGGCACCAACAACCACAAGACTGTAAAACTTCATAGGACCAGACAGCCTCATCTTTTTCTTTTTTCTTTTGTTTTAAACATTTTATTAGGGGCTCATACAACTGTTATCGCAATCCATACACACATCAATTGTGTAAAGCGCATTTGTACATCATTCTCAAAACAT